GCCAGTTCTTTGGCACCAAAGGAGAGGAAGCTTCGGCACGGCACTCGGCGCAGAACCACCAGCACCCGCCCCGTCAGATGGGTGAAACGTGAATGCAGTGTTTCCGCAGCCTCTTCGATCTCCGTGCAGTTGCCACCTGACCAGATGTTACTTCTGAGTTGAAGCAACAGGAGTCTCATCTGGCTTGCACATGGATTAGAGCTCATTTTTTTTTTTACAAATAGACTCCTAGAGATCAGCTGTGCAACCACAATACTGCGTATTTGCGCTCTAATTCCGAAACCCTGCCAGTAGCTCCAAAAACCGCGAAGAGATAGAAGCAAACGGAACACAGTGCAGCACCAGGCTCTCTTTTAGCAAACTTCTATCGCTGATGGAGACTCTTTCCTTATTCCAAGTTTGCAGGTAGATTTGGTGGGATTCCACCCGCCGTACCGTAACAGTAACCGAAGTAAATGACTGTCGTGCAATCTGCGCTTCTCTGCACAATTATTGTGCCTTTATACTCCCCTGAGCTAATTCCAGCAATCCTGCTGATTCCCTGAGAGCTGCTGGGCCGACTAAAATCTGGAACGAACAGTTACAGATTCTCCAGAAGTGGAAATGCATCATCATTCTGCAGATGAAGCGTTGTAATGCAGAACTGTGCTGGTTCAAGTGCACAAGAACCCACATCCCAAGCGAACGCAGGCAGCCTGCCGTAGAACAGTAGCAGAAACGGCAAGTTCTGCTGCAGAACTCCATAAATGCTGGAATAAAAAGAACGTGGCTGAAGATGCAAATGAGATTTTGTGCTTACATGGTATCCAAAGGAGCAGGATCTACATCTGACAGAGACACTCCTTCTTGTTCCAACAACTTCAGCACTTCTCCTACAACCGAACCACAGGTAGAGAGTTCTTACTTTGCAGATGAAGGAACACAAAATCCAGGGAAGAAGGGAAGACCGCATCTGCAGTCTTTACCAGGACGTGATGTGCATTATTACGGTGTAATTACACAGCAATAGCCATACGCTACATCCTGCAGCAGAGACAACGGGTTACTGAAACCAGCAAACGCCTTGCTCCGAGGCTTAGAGGAATGAGCTGGGCTACCTCTGGCTCTGCTTACCTGTGGTGATTACACAGTCCACGTCACGAGTTTGGTACTCTTGGTTGAAAAAGTCTGGCCTTGAAGCCTCTAGCTTTTTGTCGTAACAGGGCATTACTGTTACGTGGTATATCTGGTCAGGTGTTAAGCGCTGGAACAAAGACAAAGCTGTGCGGTTGGATTGGCCAAGAGCAAACCGATCTCGAGAGAGATGTTTTCCAGGTAAAAATGAGAATGATGACACTAGTGCCACCATGCCTCTGGAAATACTCTCTGCTATTACTAAACGTTTATTTTTGTACTACATATACACACACATTTACATGAAACTATTTCTGTCACACAACCCGATCTGAGCTTGTAGCAAGTGCCGGCAGCGTGGTCTGTTACAGGGTTCTGCCCCCTCTCCTTTTGCTAGTGCGGGTGATCCAAACCAAGTCAGCGAGCGAAGCAAACTCCTAATTAAGCAATTAGAGAACATGCTTCCTCCACGCCGCTGAAACCCAGCCCCGGCATCAGCAACTAAGAAATTATCCGGCCTCGGACAAAACCCTCACCATCGTCCAAGAAATAAGAACAGGCTGAGGAAACAAGTCATTGACTCAAGGCCGTTGTTTCAGGACCTCGTGCCAAACGTTCTCAGCAGCTGCCAATTTTTGTAACAAGTATGCAGATGTCAGCATTTACTTAATGCGAGTGTTAAACCACTGCTCATCAATGGACAATAAATCACACAAGCAGAAGCAGGGCTTAAGTTTCTTACTGGACAAATCCAGGCTATTAGTATAACTCGAGTCTTTAAATATCAGATTTACATTTGGAAAGATTCCAAAGGGTAAAGACTGAGAACAGACCTAAGTCAAACTGAAAGAGAACATTAAGCTGGGAACAAGCAAGTCATTTTTGGACAAGACATGATCTGCACGTATGCACCAGTGCATGAAGTTCTGTCTCAGAGTAATTTGTTGTTATTCACCAACTTTAAACGACATGAAAATACCAAACGCAGACAAGATGGGAGCACAAGGAGACGGAAAAATAAGTTTCTCCAGCCTTCCCAAATACCATGCAGGGGCTTTAGGCAGTCCATGCAGCACGTGTGTTCCCGCCCTAGTTGCTGACTTCCCATTAGACGAAACAGAAGTGAAACAGATGCTGCCTGTGTTGGCTTCTGCAGGATAATTTTTACCTTTAAACGCTAATGTATAACACGTAAAAAATGAAAAAATAGCAGCTGACAGTGTTCCATTTTAGCAGTTTGCCATAAACACAGGGCACTCCAGACCCTTACCTGCTGTTCTGCAAAATAGCCCTTGACCAAGGAGCCCATGACCTGCTGAGGGGACTTGGCGGTACTGATATATGGAATGATGAAACTGCCGTGGGTTTTCTCGGCGTAGCAGATCCAACCTGGTGAAAGCGTAATTAGCAAATTAAACTAAAAAGTAACAAGTGTTTCTTCGGTCTGCCCACCTTTCCCCCCAACACCAGGCTTAGTACCCCTGAGTAACCATCTTCAGCCCCATTTCAGCACAAAAAGCAAAAGCAGCGTATCACAAGAGTCGTGTTAGAGATCATTAAGTCGCTACTGTTAGTAACGCCAAGATCTCTCTGTACCGTGAAGAGAGTAATCCTCTAGGTAAATTCATCCATTTAAACCTTTCTGACCAGCTTCTGATATTTTGTTCCAGGGTACTACCAGTGTACCCTGTTACTACTTTCGTAACCCATCTAACCCCGTACCTGGGCAGGCAGAAGCAAGCATTGGCAAGGCCTTTTTGTCTTCAGCTTGCTTTCGAAAGCGTTTTACAAACTCCCGTTGGCTCTCCACCAGGCTGAAGTTTCTCGAGAAGGTTGTATCAAACACATAGTGCACACCTAGGCGGGACAGTGTCTGCGTCAGAATTCACGAGATATGGCAAACTACAGCAAAAAGCCTCCAGATTGACCGGAGCCAAATCGCACGTCTTATTTCCAGGTGTCAACCTCAGCAGCTGAGAGCGAATCTTCTTCCCTGACATGCCAACACAAGCAAAAGCGACAGGGGTACAACTCTGAAACGCCAAGTTCCCTCGCCCCGTGCGGCTGCAGTTGTATTTTAGCTGATGCCAACTACGGAACTGGTAGACAAAAAGCTGGACATGAGCGGGCCGTGTCCACTGGCAGCCCAGAAAGCCAACCATATCCTGGGCTGGATCAGGAGAAGTGTGGCCAGCAGGGTGAGGGAGGGGATTCTGCCCCTGTACTCTGCTCTGGTGAGACCCCACCTGGAGTGCTGCATCCCGCTGTGGAGCCCTCAATATCAGAAGGATACTGACCACTTGGAGCGAGTCCAGAGGAGGTCCCAGAGATGCTCCGAGGGCTGGAGCCCCTCTCCTGTGATGAAAGGCTGTGAGAATTGGGCTTGTTCGGCCTGGAGAAGAGAAGGCTCTGGGGAGACCTTATTGCAGCCTTCCAGTGCCTGAAGGGGCTACAAGGAAGCGGGGGGGGACTTTTTACAAGGGCCTGTAGTGACAGGACAAGGGGTAACGGGTTTAAATTGAAAGTGGGGAGGTTTAGATTGGATATCAGGGAGAAATTCTTCCCAGAGAGGGTGGGGAGGCGCTGGGACAGGTTGCCCAGAGAAGCTGTGGATGCCCCATCCCTGGAAGTGTCCAAGGCCAGGCTGGATGAGGCTTGGAGCAACCTGGTCTGGTGGAAGGTGTCCCTGCCCATGGCAGGGGGGTTGGAACTAGATGGGCTTTAAGGTCCCTTCCAACACAAACCATTCCATGAATCTATAGAACGCTCCATGGGGAGGTTAAATCACATCAACCCTGTGCACTCCTAACAGTTACGCTTAGCACACGCCCCGGCAGCCCCCTCTGCGACTGACAGTGCAACACCACACTTGCCCAAGCTCTTCAAGAACGCGGTCAGCTTCTTTGCTGTTTCCAGAACACCCATTTTGCATCTTGCAGCCAGCGAAGCTCTGGACTGCGGTGAAACAGAAACCACCACCAATTTCTGTCCGCTGGGAGCAGCAGCCTTTGGGAAAAACCAAACAAACACTGTTCAGGCAACATTAAAGTGGCAGATGCAGAACCTTCAGCACACTAGAGGATCAGAAGGTATCTCCAGGTTAACTGTGGTGTCAGTAATTTACCAGATCAAAGGTCCTTCGCAAACCCACGATTACTTTTTAACAATCAGAAAAAAACAGAGCAGCACACCGAGAATGCCCTCAGATCCTTCAGATCCCTGAAACTCACTTGTTCCGTGCGCTGTTTCCACACGTGCTTCTGCAGATGCCTCGCCCCAACCTATTCAGACTGTCAAGCTCAGCCCAGCCACACCGTGTCACCTACCCTGTTAGAAGCCAGCGTTTTGCAGAGCTCTTCATGGCTCTGCTGCGTGATCAGAACACTCTCTGCTGATGTTATGCAGCCGCTACAGGCCAAACAGTCGTTCAGAGTAATTTTAGCCTTTTCCAGTTTTTGTGCTGCTCCATCCTGTAAAGAAACAGATCGGACTCGGTTCTGATCCCAGTGTAGAATTAGGCAGCAGCTTTCCCACCTCTACTCTCTTCAGTAACAAAAATGTTGCCCCTTTTACACTCTCAGTGTCTCTGAAGTTTGCGGTATTGGGCACACGGATGCAAAAATGCTGAGAAACCTCAGGGAAATTTTAGCAAGACCAAGAACATAACTTCCATCAAACGGCTGTCTAGGGCACAATTGTTTGTGCTGGGCTGTAATGTTGGAGAAAGCATGTCAGCTTTGTCACTTCTGTCAGATGCTGCTCGTGTTAACGAACAGTACTGAGCTGTTTCCTCACAGGAATTTGAATTTCATTCCTGATCAGACCGTGTGACCAGGCTACCAGCTTGCTATCGTTTTCAACCGACACCGAGCGTTCTGCGATCCTTCTGTGTGCAAAACTCACACGGACACTGAGGGCAGAACTGCACGGCAGCAGATCACGGACGGCGTGTGGCTTGCCACTGGAAGGCACTATTTTTCAGAGTATCTGGCCTGATTAAGGCAGGTTTCCCAGGAGACTCTCCTCTTAAACTCCATTTCTCAATAAAGTCAGAAACAGGCCGAGCAATTAGGTATTACTAAATTAAAATTTTAAAATAAGAAACCAGACTTGTTTGGAAGAGCTGTATCCCCTTTTTTTAAGTCAAAAGGGCATCATCTGCTTCAAGTTAAAAGTACCATTTCTAGATGAATTCCCAGCTTGGTTAACTAGAAAACGCTAACATTTTCTGTGTAAACAGGAAAATAATTCTCCAAAACCTGGCATTGTGTAAGCAGGAGGCTTATGAATTCTTCAGGATACATAATTAATGATTTGGAACATTATTAAAAAAATTAGAGCAAAATTTAAGAGTATCTACTCGTATCTCTTGGTGAGCACTGTGCTCTAATGCCATAATGCAGTAAGACATTGTCTCAAGTAATCTAGGAATTGCTAATACTTAAGTACTGATGGCAAAATAGACATCTCAGCTTATCTGCTCTTACACTGCAAATCATTGCTAATGAATGTCAGGATTTCAGAGCATAAAAGATTGACACAAAATCGGAATTACTGCTTATAAAACGGGGTAATTAAAAAGTTGGACTTTGGGAAAAAGATACGAGAATGCTGACAGCAGCAGCGACACTTTGTTAACATCTTGGTCCTCTCTGAGGCACTGAATAGTTGCAGAGTATTCAAATACTTTACAATACACTCACATTTCCTGGCTATTTTACACAATAAGGAAGAAAAACCACACACACCTGATTGATCTGAAAATAGCTTCCATCAGCTTCAATTCTGATCTTAGCTGCTGCTTTCCCAGGCTTTTTTTCCACTTTTACAGGTTTGATACATTCCTGAAAGAAAAAGCCCAAAAGCGAAGAGATGAGCATCGAAGTGTGGAAGAGGCAGATTTAACAGAAACTGGAACGATCGAACCCCAGTGCTGGTTCCACGGTGAATACCCCTTACTCTCCCCTAAGCTACGCTGGATTTACTTACAGCGTCTATAACCACCATGGGAAATCGTAGAAGCCAAACCCACTTACCCCTTTTTTACAGAAAGAGCACTTTTCCAGCATCATACCAATCCCAGAGGGAAATTTTGCTGTTCCTAGCTGTGCTTTCCAGCCCTGAGAGGAGCAGAGGCTTGCCTGCAGAGCCCTCCTCCCTGAATCCTGACAGCTGGTCCTGCGTTCCCCATGGCAAACGTTCAGCGACGGAGGCGTGGTCACCGCCGTCAACATGTGGCTTGTGCCAATGAAGCTTCCTCTGATGTCAAAGGGCTCTGACGACCTCAGACGGACCCGCTTCCAGTGTTCTGTATCCAGCCCTGAGAGGAGCAGAGGCTTGCCTGCAGAGCCCTCCTCCCTGAATCCTGACAGCTGGTCCTGCGTTCCCCATGGCAAACGTTCAGCGACGGAGGCGTGGTCACCGCCGTCAACATGTGGCTTGTGCCAATGAAGCTTCCTCTGATGTCAAAGGGCTCTGACGACCTCAGACGGACCCGCTTCCAGTGTTCTGTATTGTTCTGTGATGAAGTCTCACGGGGATTTTTGCATTTTGTGCCATTTCTGTTGTTTAGGGCACCCGACGACTCCTTGTCCTACAGCTCCGACTCTCTTTGCTTTTTACTATCCTTGCTCTGCCGACCTTTCCAGTACCCCCCACCCCCCATTTTTACTGCATTTTGCAAGATTCAGAGACAGGATAGCAGGAAGCAGTCATTACAATTCCTCAGTTACGTTCACTGAATAAAACAAGCAACGATCTCACCTTGAAAGAGAACAGCGGGTCACGCTGTTTACGTTACAGCCTTCACTAGCAAACCCGTGTACTACGAAACTTTGAACAGACTTTGCAACACCCCATTCCGCCGACCTCATTTCAGAACAGTTGTCTCTGCAGGATTGGTCAGCACATAGCTCCGGGATGACCGTGCTGTACTGCTGCTGGTGCTTGAAGAGTCCAAAAGGAACAGCCTTCACCTGCCCTCGCTGCTCGCTCCCACCGCCCTGCCACCCACCCCTGTACTGAGCATCTCTGTGGTTGTCCTGTGCAAGGAAACCTGTTCAGGCTTAATTTTCTTTTTTGAGGGACACACACCAGATTATCATAGAATCACGGAATGTTTTGGGTTGGAAGGGACCTAAAAGATCATCCAGTTCCACCCCCCTGCCATGGGCAGGGACACCTTCCACTAGACCAGGTTGCTCAAAGCCTCATCCAGCCTGGCCTTGGACACTCCCAGGGATGGGGCACCCACAGCTTCTCTGGGCAACCTGTCCCAGTGCCTCCCCACCCTCTGCGGGAAGAACTTCTTCCTGAAAGAAGTTAATGGGGCAGTTTCCAGCTCGGGGTGGGAACGTCCGCCGGGCTGCTGGGCCAAGCTTTCCCTCTCCAGCTGCCTGCAGAGGCTTGAGCCGCTCAGCTGGCTGCCCTCTGCTCCCTGTGCGCTGGAGAGGACGGTGAGGGATGTCCCGGCCTTCTCCCTTTCCCCCTTTGATTGAACAGCACCCGAAGG